TGAAAAGAATGAGTTTCTGAAAATCAAAACCTTGGATATTCGCAAAATAAAATCATTTTAAAGTTTTTTTTTATGAAAAAAATATAGCTTTTATATATATAAAAACACACACACACAACACATATTAACTTTTTTCATATACATTTTCAAACATCGAATTATAAAACTTTAAATTATGTACCCCTACCTGGATGGATTTCTCCAGGTGTTGGCAACTTGTTAGAAGTCGACCCTCTGGTCAGGTGAACCGGTCTGGCAGTGGTGGTCGTAGTCTTGACCGTCGTCTTCTTCCTCTTCGTGTCTTGCCGGGCAGCCAGTGCGGCCGACACCATAAGCAACAGGAGAAACCTTGGGAAGCTCCTCATAGCTAGACAGGCACGCATCGACTCCACGTGCCGGGAAAATCGTCTGCACGTTAGAGGCAGGAGAAACCCCCTTTGCCACCCCCCAGGAATGCGCATGCTCAAGATGAGGAGTGGGAAAGGTATTTTCGGTAGCGGAAGGAAAAACTGGAGAAGTTTTAATATTGGATTCTGCAGATTTTGAAGAAGGTGGGAATTATTGTGTTTGGCATTCGTTGTGTGAAACGTTATATATTCAATTTTGAACAATTTTGTTTTCGGCAGAAAAAATTCTGATAACTTATTTTCTCGAGTTTGTTTCCATTAATGTTTTTATTTCATTGGTTGCTTTTACAAAGAATTTTTGACTGCTGTTTACGCGGGAATTTTTTTTAAATGAATCTGGAAAACTTTTAATGCTTAGTTACCTTCAATTAAGTCTGACTAATTTGTCATTATTTACCTACCAAAAATGAAGCGTTAAAGGAGATTATAACTATAACAAGAGTATTAAAATTTATATATTTTGGAGAAAAGATTCTTGTTGTTGTTTTCTCTATCTGCGTCACCACCTGTGTGACGGTGTTAGAACGAGGCCCACGAAATTCCTTGTGGCATAAGGCCAGATATTTACGCCTGTCGTAGTTTTGAGCACCACATATGTGACAGTATCATTTGGCTCGTTTCCACCTCAATTTTGAGGAAGAACACCCTGGGAGTGATGAAATGCCACCTCAACTTCCCCTTCCACCAACCTTACGAGAGGATTTGCGACTCGGCGGCTATTTAGACGGCTGTGGCGCAAAATCACCCTGCCTTCTCCGGGACTCGATTCCACGCCCAGCGGCCCACCAGTCAGCGTCACTAACTGGAGGGGCGGCTCTCGAAAAATTTGATTTTTTTACGGGATATATAATATTTTAAATGTTTTCTTTCTTTTTTAAAAGGATTTATATAAAACTCCGCCGAACTCGGAGTCGTTAAAAAAAGCGCACTGTGTGGAATTTTGTTGAGGGGGATGCCAAGTCGGCTGTCGTCTTCTTCACTTGTCCTTGGTTCAAAATTGCGAGGACTGTCGGCAAGAGCCCTCTTTGCGACGTTGATCAACAGTCAATCAACTTATCCGGCCCCGATTTTCATCTTTTCTGCTGTTAAAGGAGAACCTTGAAATTCGGCAGTTTAGAACCGACATGAAATTCAGAAATCCCTTTTAGAGAGGTTCACGGCTTTGACGCGGACTTGTGCTTGATGCATTTGAGAACTGTTGGTACATATGCTTCGACAACCATGTTGACCATGAGGACAGGCAATGTGAACGGAGAGAGAAGTGATTGTCCGTCTGAGCCTACATTGCTCAAGAGAATTAAAGGATATTTAGGTTGCAGAGGAATCTTGGCTGGGGAAGTAGATGATTGATAGTCATGATAGGCTATATGAGGAAAGAGTGATACATGTATGGCAGAAAAAAAAGCATTTTATTGAACATTTGGGTACAAAAAAAGGCAAAACAAAATATGTGCCTATAAGAAAAAAAAAATGGGTTTCCTTGAAAGAAATTCCTTTTTAGTAGAATTTCCCTGGAAGGCCGCAACGTCGAACACCTTTGAGACATGGAGTCTATTAATGAGAAGCTGGACATTCTGCCCTCCAGAAGAATACTCTCTAGTTCTAAGAGTGGCCGCGCTGGCCTAGTGGTCAAGGTATCGGATCGTGGCTGGCTTGTCACGAGTTCGAGCCCAGTACCACCAAAGACCCACCGTGTAGGGGAGCAATGCACGTTAAATCTGTCGAAAGCTCAAACGTCCTCCCGTTGGTGTGGTGTGGTAGTTAGGAGAGGGGGTGCCAGCTCAGGTGTCATCCTCGTCACTTGACCATGGTTCAAAATTACTAGGTCCGTCACCAAAAGCCCTCGTGTAGCTAAACAGTGCGACGTTAATATTCACTCTCTCACTCTAGTTTTAAGAGAATTTTTGCGAGTGGTTACCAGCCTACCACTCGCACAAATAGGCCTAGAATATCCCAAACATACTCTATTTGGTTCATGTCCGGTGAGCACCCTGGTCATTCCATTCATGTGATTTCTTCTTTGGAACGGAAGTCATCCACCCCCCAATTTAGCACAATGTGTTTCGCAATTGTCATCTTAAAATTCCTGAAAATGAGAACAATTAGCATTTGTGATCTCTTCTTCCATTTTCTGCAAAGAGGAATTGTATCTGTATTTTAACTACCCCTGCAGTTAGAGATATATATTTGTAAAAACGCGCTCATCGAAATAGCATGTTTAACTAAAACACCCCCCCTCCCTATCGGCATTGTGGATAAATTCGTTCAACAAAAAATGAACGATGAATATAATTTTCTTTTGTGAAACATTAGTTGCGATAATAATAATTTTAATTTTAATTATAGTTGTAATTTTAAGCCGTGACAAGAGGACGATACCTGAGCTGATACCATACTTTCCATGCTCACACACCACGCCAACTTGCGGACTTTGAGCCATGACAGGTGAGACGTACATCAGCCTATGTCTACGGTGGGTCTCAGAGGCATCAAGACTAGAACTCGCGATTCCTTAATCACGGCTCCAATTTCCTCACCATGATCACTTGATTACCGCGGCCAATTTAATTGGAAGCGTAAAATCAGAACGGGCAGAAGAACCAAGCGTCATTTTGGAAAATGAATAAGTATGTGAAAAAATTGCCTTCGTTTTTAAAACTCGGAATACATTCCGAGACAGAAGAAGAATGTTCGTGACTTTACATGCCACTTCATTACATAACGTTCTTATACATAATTTATGAAATTATGTCTTAAACTTTTTTTAAAAAAAGGGGTACTTTTGTCCACCTAACGGCAGATTTACCACCATTGTACAAATTATGCGAAGGTGCGCAGCCATTGTTCAAATTGTTAAATTGTATTTTATATGTACTATGCATTTCTGTTTTTTTTTCAATATGTTGTAATCATGAAAAAATACATTTTAACTCTCCAACTATGCATTTTAATTAGTACTTCAATTTATTGTCTCTTCAAAAGCAATATTTCTTATCACCTTTTCTACTAAATTTCGCGGAATTTGTATTCCATCTCTGCTTCTGCATCTTGACAGAGCCGCATAAAATTGTCCATGAATAAGTACGGTTTCCTTCGTTGTTACACAAAAACCAAACTTTTCAAAACTCTGTCCCTGTGGTTTATTAAAATAGTCATGGCAAATGCCAGTCTTACAATAAATTGCGTACGTTTCACAACAAATGGCATATAAAAGTCCCCTAGAGTGTGAAATGAGGTCCCTGATCTCCATACAATTTCGTTTTTCCTCACCTCCTGATAAAATTTCTCTCTCCAGTATACTCTTCTGAATATTTTCACTACCAATTTTGTACTATTACACAGCCCATCAGTAATACATAAAGTTATTAATAGCATTAATATACAGCCTAATTTTAAATTCAGTTTAGTGGGTAGCACTCCCGATGAAGTGAGTGATTATAGATATTCAGTCGTATACTGTAGCATAGCAATTTGTAAATATAATATTGAACACGATTCACTGCCTTTTTCAATTCGTATACTCTATATATTAGTTTACTTCTCTCCCTATATATATATATATATATATATATATATATATATATATATATATATATATGTACAGTTGGGCCTCTATAAAGCAAAGTCACTAAATACTGGAAAAAAGTTTGTTACATGGAAAATTCGTTATACAGAGGTTCATCTTTTAATATACTTTATATAAACCACATAAAACAAATATTTTAATTTCATAAACACTATATATTAAAAAAGTAGTTATTCACACCTTTTTTAAAATTAATATATGTTTATTTTATATATCTTACACATAAAAAAAGAAATAAAAACTACAAGGAAAACAAGAAAAAAGGATGTCGAATAATTCACTGTATTTTCAACATTCAGAAAATAATTTCATGTTAAAATTAATGAATTTTAAAGACATTTTCTAATTTACAGCATACAAGTAATATTAAACATACATTGTTTTATAATTAGAACACGGGGACACGAGACAACTCCATTGAGGGTGAAAGAGAATATCGAAGGTGTTTCTAGTGAACTGGGCAATGGGGGTTACAGGTTGCACTTCTTGTGTGTGGATGAAACGTCCTGAACTCTATTGCTCTCGGAGAGTTAGAATCTAATTAAACCAGTTCAAGATTGATGACCTCCATAAAATGTGTTAAAAGAAAGACTAACTTGAAATGTTCAGAAATAATTTAAGAGTAGGAAGAAAAAAATTGAATCACTAAAGAAAAAGTTCGTTATATACAAAATGCACTTCGCTACAGAGAGGTTATTTTACGAAGAAAATCGTAAAATGTTCAAGGTTCCAGTAAAAAGTTCGCTATATAGAAAAATTCCCAATATAGAGGTTCGTTATATAGAAGTTCGACTGTATATATATCTTGTTAAAATTTTCACTCAATAATAAAATACTTTTTATTCATCCATTCCAGTTTAAGTACATTTTTCAAACTTTTAGAGGATGACTCTTCATGTTTATAAAGCTTTTTCAAATATTAATTCAGTAATTAAATTAAAAATTAATAAATAGTATAACAAAAATAATAATCCAACAGCATATATAGAAAGAAAATCATTCTTTGTTTCCCTGTAGCGTAATGGCTAGCGTGTTGGACTTCTAATTCAAAAACCGTGGGCTCGAATCCCACCTGGGATGAACCTAATTTCTGAGCATGTGATTTATTTTTTACTATACTATTTCATTAGAATAATTAAATTCAATTAATGAATTAATAGTAACATACAAACAAAATAATCCAACACCTTATATAGAAAGGAAAATGGAAAATTCCAAGAAAATCGCTTTCTATTTTGTCACTTAATAATATGATTATATTTTATATGTATATACATATTTATATTATAATTATTTAATACAAAGTAACTAAAATGACATTTTCTTTATTGACGTAGGTAGGAACTGATAAAAAACATTTTGTTATATTACTTGTTATTATTGTTCTCGTGTGTGAGATGAATAAATATATTTATTACAAAAAAAAATAACGAATTACACATATATATTCAAAAAATGATATTCGTTTCTTTAACTTGAAAAGTAAAGAACTCTAAGCATAAATCTATAAAAGATTACATGTTGGATACCAGCCAAAAACCTTCATTCAGATAAATTTCAGTAGCATCTCATAAGACGAACTACACTGCTGGACAATTGCTAAGGACGGATCACAAATTGCTATGTAGCATAACTTTAAGCGAGACATGAGACCTAGTAGGATAAAATATAGTTTCCACACTGTTCAGACATTAGAATAAGGAATATTTATTGTTCTGGAAAGTACAAAAGCTGTGAAACATCTGAAAGAAAAAAAATGTTCATTTGATCTGCGTACGGAGAAATGGAACAATCCATCTAAAAGTCAGCAGGCACCTTAAAGAAAGGTATCAGTACGGGATATGTCCACCGTGGAGTGTGATGCAACATTCCACACGTCGTACCATACTTTGCACAAAATTATCCAGCAGCTGTTGAGGCAATTTATCCCATTCCTCTGTGAAAGCACGGATGAGGGTGTTCTTGTTTGTCAGAGGATAGTTTCGACCAACAACTTGCCTCCCCAAAGCATCCCACACATTTTCAATGGGGTTTAGATCTGGAGAACGCGCTGGCCATACGAGACGTTGAATACCCTCGCTGTCTAGACAATCCTGAACAGCGAGTGTTCGATGACGTGTTGCGTTGTCGTCCATAAAAACAAATTTATCACCGACAGCACCACGGAAAAGACGAACATGAGGAAGTAGAATTTCATCAATGTATCGTTGGCCCGTCATAGTCCCATTCGCAACCACATGTAGGCGCGTGCGGCCATTGATCATGATGCCGGCCCACACCATGATACTGCATGTCGGATATCGGTCCTTTTCCTGGATATTTTCTGGACGATACGCAGTACCACTCTCGTGCCAGATCAGTTGGCGTCTACAATCCGATGACAGACTGAACCTACTCTCATCTGAGAATAGTACACATGCCCAGTCCTGTTCAGTCCAATTGTGATGCTCACGACACCATTGCAAACTAGCCGTACAGTGATGTCTGGTCAATGGGACACACACAACAGGTCTGCGTGCGTATAGTCCTCCTCCCCTCAAACGTCTGCCAACAGTTTTTGGGGAGATCTGCTTTCCTGAGGCAGCAAGAAACTGATTTGCCACCTGCTGAGCTGTGGTTCACCTGTTCCTTTTTGCTGATAGGACGATATATCTGTCTTCTGCAGGCGTCGTACTTCTAACACGACCTCCCCCGTGCCGTCTACTGCACATTCCAGTAGTTTTAAATGACTTCCACAGCCGTGAAACAACGTTGTGAGCGATGTCGAACTCCCTGGCAACATCTGTTATTTTTCGCCCTTCTTCGATCTTTCCAATAATTCGGCCATGCATAAAATCATCTATGTGATGTCGGGAAGACATGCCAAAAATTTTAAGTTCGTCTATTAAATCTTTCCTGTAAAACTTTGACTTGAAACAACAACTGTCCACACGCGTCAAAATCTTTAAAGCTCTTATGAACGCTATCACGTGAGGAACAGACGTGGAAAAAAAATTTGCAAACTTATACTTCTTACTAATATCCCGCACTTATTCTAATTTTCCACATTTTGCTTCCTTTCATTTTGTGGTTGCTATGGATGATAGTGTTATCCGTCCTTAGCAATTGTCCAGCAGTGTACTTTCTGTAAGATAGCAAAGTCATAACATATTTATTTTCGCCATTTTTTTAGTTAAAAAAAATATTTCGCGTTTGGGTCTTATTCTTATCATTACACCCATTGTTGTCTTAAACCCAATTCCTATAAGAGATGATAAAAAGGACCAACCAGCTATTTGAAGGTATCGAGAAATCAAAACTGATATCCTGTGCCCCCAAGGACATGTGTTAGTGGTTATGTTTGAAATGACCGTTATATAAGATTACATGTACCCGATGCTGTAAAAAAAATGTTGGATAAATTTAAGATTGCTGTGTGTTGATAATTCATAGGAGACTTTTATTGCTGGAATTTCGCCAACTACAATTATTTCTGCACATTTTAACTTCATTACGAAGCGTTTCATTTTTATCATATCACGAGCCGTTCGCATCGATGTTCATAGATTTTCTTACAAAACTCTTGTCATTCATTTCGATTCATGGATTCTTGGTATTAAATACTGTTATTGTTGTTTCTAATCCTTAATTGAACTATCTAAGACCAGACCAACTCCATCAGTGTTTGAATCCTTCCATAAAAAACAAGACTAAAATAGGAATGGAGAACACCTCTCTTCCAAATTCAAATTTAAGTACCGGTGCACAGGTGATGCTTGAGCAGCATAACTCTTCACACAGATATTACTAACTATTAGTCCTGTTCAATGGCGAGAGATTTTAAGTGCACACTAGTAAATTGAGATATGCAAAAAAAAAATCCATTGGTCTCTATGACCTTCAAAGAGTAAGGTACCACCAGGGTGTTTTCGTGGATACTAAGCATTTTCCGTAGGAATACAGAGATCCATTTGCTTTTTCTTACAATCGGAGAGTGGCCGCCTGGTATAGGTATGGGATCGTGGCTTGCCTTGTCACGAGTTTGAGCCCTATACCACTAAAGACATGCCGTGTAGGGCAGCGATGCACGTTAAATCTGTCGAGAGCTGAAACGTCCTCCCGTTGGTGTGGTAATTAGGAGAGGGGGGTGCCAGCTCAGGTGACGTCCACGTCACTTGACCATGGTTCAAAATTACGTGGTCCGTCGCCAAAAGCCCTCGTGTAGCTGAACAGTGCGACGTTAATATTCAATCAATCAATCAATCAATACAATCGGAGAACACCTGAAGTAGAAAGTATATCAGATCGGGGAACTAGCTAGGGGGACAGCCTATAAATCAGCATGTACATGAAATTATTTTAAAATACTATTAGAATATAAAAAATAAATAAAATACAATTTTTTTTTTTGGCAAAAAACGAATAAAGAGAATGACATATTTTCAAAATATTCTCCTTCAATGAAAAACTGCCTCTAAAATGTTTCTCCTATATATATATCTAGGACTGATATAAAGAGCCTGAACTAAGTGTTTTGAAAGCATCCCATTATTTTCAGAAGGACGGTCCATTGAAATAATATATTACGTGCGTTTTAAGCAATTCTCTATTTTGATATATTAAAATACAAGTAAATTTGCTTCCTTCTACATACAGTCGAATCTGTTTTTGTGCGGTCTTTTTTTATGCGATTTCCTTTTGTGCGATTTTGTATGTGCGATAGTTTTTTTATGCGGTGCATGAATTTCAATGGCTTGGGCGCCACTGTAATGTTTTCTATCTATTTACCAGTAGTGTAACGGAGAATGCTAGGAACCCCCCCTCCCTTCTGAAAGTCAGGTTTCGCCTTTAATATTTTATAAATTGGGTAAATACGTATTTAGCGGTAGTCAAGCCTTGGACTTCCACAGTCCTGCCCCCCAAGTGATAGGACTAAATGACTTTGGCTCCACTGTAATGTTTTCTATATATTTACCAGGGGTGTAACGGAGAATGTTAGAACCCCCTCCCGTCCCCATGAAAGTCAGGTTTTGCATTTAATATTTTATAAATTGGGTAAATATGTATTTAGCGTAAGTCAGGCATTGGGCTCTTAGAGTCCGCCCCCTGTGATGCGGGGATGTACGTTACGCCACTGAAATGTAGACATTTCAAGACACTCTGTTCATTTGTTATAAACAGTCTCCCGACAATGCGCATTCAGTTGCTTTCTGTCGCGCTCCAGCAGCCCACGCTTGATTGAAGAAGAAACTTTCAATGACAGTGACATTATCAATAATTTGATAAATTATGACGGACAAGAAGCCAGATTCTTTGAGAGCGGATAAAAATATGCAGGGATCCAGCGTTCCAACAAACTGAAAAAGCATTTTCTTAAAATAGATACCAGTTAAGAAAGGAGTATAAAATTACAAAAAGGACTTCAATCATGTATATCTGGTTATCGTGGCATTAACAAGCAACTGTGTGACCACCCGTCCTTCGTCACAAGAACTTATCTCTTACTTTATGTTGCCAAAAAATAAATCAATTGAAATTGCACCTTCAAGTGACGAAAGTTATTTTGAACTCATTAATTACGGGACATTGGATTACGATAAGTAGCAATGAATTATTAATGTGCCTTTCAAAGATTTATCCGTTTATACAATGAGAAACTATACGTTTTAAAAATGTTTCCATGTGTAATATTTAATTATTTATTTTATTATGGAAGAACTCTTACATATAAATTTCGTAAATAATTGGCATATTTTATTAATGCAACTTTTTTATGTGACCGTATCCACCGCATAAAAAAAGTTTTTTGTAGTATTTTCACGAATTAGTTGGTTTTATGTAAGAATTTATGAAATTTTTGAATATTGTTTGTGCTTTTATTTTTATGCGGTCTCTATCTACCACACAAAAGCAGGTTCAACTGTATTTCAAAACCCATGTTAAGAAACTAGCTTTATGTGCTATATATGGGCAAAATATTATAATAGAAGCATTTCTTCATAAGAGAGGAATGTTTTGAAAATATAGTAGAAACTGTTTTTGTGCTGTCCTTTTTTTATGAGATTTTATTTTTGTGCGACTTTTTCTGTGCGATCTTATTGTT